GGGGGGGGGGGGGATAACGGTAATCTACAGTCAGTATATCAGTTTTACAATCTCAGAGGCAGAAGCCTTTCATAATTAAATAATTGTAGGAGCAGTAACAAACACTCACCCAGGTTCTTCAGGGGGTCGATGGCCTTAGATGTCCCGGCTCCGTTCTTCACCCCCGGGGCCGCTTTCTTTCTGTTCCCCAACATAACGCAAGGAAGCTGCGCTTTATTTCTCCCTTCCTCCCTTCTTTTGCCTTCCCTGTGGCCGGATCCTGCGTTATGGCTCGGACAGGAGGTCAGCGTTCTAGTGGATCAGCTGTGTAGATCTCCTGCAGGAGGACAACGGGAGCGTCTCCGCAGACACAGCGCTGCGCAGGCTGCACCTCATGGTTTTATTCTGGAGGAGGAAAACAGGAGCCTGGCCAAACCTTCACCCTGCTGATGTCACTGAGCTTGGATTTATAAACACAGGGAGCTGTAGGCATCAAAACGTCAGAACCCACAACACACTCAGGCTTCCTGAGGTGGCCTTCAAAATAAAAGTTGCTGAAAGTAGTTGAACAAAAATTAACAGTAGCTTATTTACACACAGTTTTATATGTGGGGCTTATTTCTTCCACAGATACACAAATCTCATTATAATACAACAATTGAAATCATTATTAATCCTGTAGGTTTAATAATATCATTAATTATTTCCATATTATAAATGTTATTGTGATAAGTAATTATGAAACATTTTTCAACTCTAGCCCTAGCTTTTCTTTTCAAGCAGCTTTCAACCACATCTCATGGTCTTCCTCAAATTTGCTACTGTGATGGAATTAGTTCAAATGGACCCTTCCTGAGTCGGCCCCTTTTCGCTCTGTTCTCCAATAACATCTGAGCAAGCCTCTGTGAACTTTGTCCTCTCTGTAATTAGATATGCTATGTGCTAGGCTCTCTATGTTGAAAAGACAATCAGATTTTTAAGATGCTTAAAAGATAAAAGCGACATAGGCTATTTATTTTAAGTTAACTTCTGTTAGCTAAATGCTAGCTAACTATCTAGCTAATCTAGACAGTGCTGACCTCTGAGGAATTAAAGAAAACTCAAGTTGAAAATGGAGGAATTTATGAGCTGTGTTGCACCATCAAATTTCATACAACCCTGCTTTGAGATGTAACTTATTAGCAAACGATTGATGCAGATTAGCTAGCTAGGTGGCTAGTGTTTATCTCTGCAAAAGGAGGAGTCGACCCAGGTTCTGACCGAGGCTTGCTCAACTGTTGGAGCACAGAGCAAGAAGGGGTGGGACTTACCAAGGGTCAACTACTGTTTGCATCCTTATTATAGGAAATCTGGCCTAAATCGTGGTAGTAAACTCCTTCTGTAAATCAAAAAGGGTGGAGGTCTGAACTTAGTACTGGAACTAGAGCCCACATTTAAAGAAAAAAAGAAAAAGAAATATCTTATATAAGATATAATCTTATTAAATGGACTGTGTGTGAAAGTGATTGGGACCCCTTCCCTAATTGTAACACCCCTGCTGTCCTGCATGTAATATTATTTTGGTTTTCACATACAAGGAAAAACTTGTAAACTTGAAACCCTATGGATAACCTCTTTTTATTTCCACAGTTTTGACTTGAGTTCTTTTCTGCTGTGTCAATAAAAAAGGAAACAACTCTATTTAAGAGCTACTAAGTATTATGCTTTTGTTTTGAAAGCAAAATCTCAACATTTCCGGCCTTTGTGTTGTGTGTCTGTTGCCGCTTGATAACGGACGGATTTTAAACGGATTATAGACCGAAGAGAGACGTTCATGTGTCTAATCTGAAGTAGCCGTCCTCCTCTCGGTCTACTAGTCTCTAATTTGATCCAAAGCACAGTCTGAGTGCTGAACGGAACCTAGCTGATCCTCTAATACTGTCCGCTGTAATTGGGGCAATGGTGCTGCAGAATGATTTATGCACAAATCGGCCTATGTGTCCCGTGTCGGCTGTAATAGATGGACTGCAGAGGGTTGATTGATTGATTGCTCTCTAGTTGATCTGAAATAGGCCGTGCACCAGTGTATGAGTGTGTGTGAATGGGGTGAGTGT